TTTTAATGGCATGAACCTTGTCTTTAGGTTCTTTAAGTTTACTTCAGTTTTTGAAATTTTGGTCTTCATATCGTGCCACTGCTTTCTATAAAAGGTAGCTTTAAATAAATAAAAAAAATTAACAGTAGAATTTTTTCATACTTCATGTTTAAATAGTAGCAATTATTAAATAGTTACTTGTAAGTTAAGAAACTAAATAAGGTAATATTAAGTGGGGAACATGGATACGACATAATTTCAAATACTTATAAAGAGTAATTAAAATGTTATGCATTTTTATACTCTGTACATGAAATGTACAGAAGTATATTGGGTTTGCGGGAGCTGAAAAATGTAACAGGTTCTGCCTGGCGTGGCAGACCCTACAAAGTATATATATTCTTGATCAGCATTACGAGACGAGTCGATCTAGCCCTGTCTGTCTGTCTGTCCGTCCGTATAAACACCTGGATCTCAGAGACTATAAGAGATAGAGACACCAAATTTTGCACAAAGATGCCTTATGTGTGTATTCTATACGAGTTTGTTTTATTTTTTTTATTTGCCCCCCCCCCCCCCACTTTCCTCCTATGAGAGATTTCCCGATTTTCCATTCGTATAATCGCCTATATCTCGGAGACTATAAGACCTAGGAACACCAAATTTTAGTCCAAGATGCCTTGTGTGAATACGCAGGGAAATTCCAAATTACACATTTTCTGCCATTCGCAAAAGGCAAAAGGGTCTAAAATTCGGTGTTCCTAGGTCTTATAGTCTCCGAGATATAGGTGAATATACGAACGGCGTTTCCGAAAATCCTCCATAGGTGGGTGGGAAAATTAAAAAGATAAATCAAACTCGTATAGCGTACATACATAAGGCATAATTGTGCAAAATTTGGTGCCTCTAACTCTAATAGTCGCTGAGATCCAGGTGTTCATAAGGACGGACGGATGGACAAACAGACAGATATAGATCGACTCGTCGTGTCATGCTGATGAAGAATATAAATACTTTGCGGGGTCTGCCACGCCTCCTTCCTCCTGTTATATTTTTCAGCTCTCGCAAACCTAATATACTCTTGTACTATACATTTCATGTACAGACTAAAAAAAGGTATGAAAGAAAGGTTCAAATCTATTTACAAGCAAAATGAAATCATTAAGCAACGTTTACTGTCAACAAATGACACGCAAACACATTTCAAAAGCAATCACGTCAGACCATGGGAAATAATAAAAAGAATCATAAAGGCGGCGAAGTCAACCAAGTTGGTGTTGCCTCAGCTGGCATGCAATTGAGTTGAAAGACAAACAAATGCCGTTCAGCGTCATGGCTGATAGGGGGCGATTGAGTTGTTGTTGAACCTGACAAAGCAACTGTGTGGGGGGCAGACTTGCCACAAAGCGTAAAAACCACCGCGCCACAACAAACACGGCGCACAGGCACGCAGGTGGGCGCAACAAGGTAGTCTTCATTCGCTCATTCACTCACTCACTCAGTCAGTCTGTTCGTCAATTACATTGATTTCATGCATTCAACGTTTTATTTGTTTGCATTTTTGCGCTGTTATTGTCAACTCACAACTCGCAGCAAATTCACTTGTGGCAAGCGACACACCAAAAAACGGAAACGGAAACGCGCAGCGTCGAACTCAAACTTTTTCTCGTCCTCTCGCTCGTCGTCGCCATTGTTAGCATTGACACTCAGCGCCCATTTTGAGTTTCTCAGTCGCGCACTTTAATAACACAAAGTGTCTCCTGCTCTTCTACAGTGCCTGCTTTCTTTCATTTGATTCTCGTTTCATTATTTTCGACAATTTCCTGCACAACAACAAATACCATTGATTGACTTCGCCGTCATTTTCATTATTACGTGCAGTGAGCAGTGGTTTGGTTTTTTGTTTTGAAACAAATTGTTTACTTCCATTTGCTCGACGTAATGTTTTTTCTATCGCACGCTTACCATCGCTATTTATGTACATTTGTATTATTTTTTTACCAGCTACTGTTGTTAGCACTTCATTCACCTTTATCGTCATGGTCCGTGGCATTAGTGCTTGCCAAAAATGTCAACTAATGTGTGTGTTTCTGTGTGTGTGGGAGCTTCTGATTTGTCGCTGTTTTATGACTTTTGTTTTACGAGGCGTAAAAAATATCATTATGGTGCAGAAAAATAAATAGATAAATAGACACAATATTTTGACAGTAATCTGCATCTACCGCATAAGTAATGCCTGATCGTGTTTGTTTCTCTTGTGAGACAACATTACATTTTTTACGTAAAATTATTTATGTTTTACTTTTAGACAAATTTGAAGCTAAGTAACCATTGAATTAGATTATGAGAGAAATTCTATTTACGTTTGGTGCGTCCTCATTCTACTCCATAAATATTTGCACACCTGTTTCTGCTGAATCATCACTGGTTTATACATTATTATTAAAGCACACATAAAGGAGACTGGGCTTTGGCAGGAAAATCTTAAAAAGTTCACTTTCTAGGAGAATAAAGAGTTATTTAATCTTTAAACTTAAAATCGGGTAAATTTCCTCATTCAAAAACTAGTACTGAACAGTATTGGAAGGACTGGTTAAGTGAAAAGTATTTTATAAGTGAAAAGTCATTATATGGCTTACCAATTGCAATATACGTGTATACGATAAATATATTATGATACTATAAAAATATAAAATATTACAGCCTCAGATGTACTCAATTGTTTTGGAAAAAGAACTCAGGCGTTGATATGGAAATGTGCTTCCATGCCATAATATTTTTGGTACTTCGTACTGACTATAATTACTAAAGTACATTAATATTTTTTCATAGTCTTTTCAACCATTCTGCATCTTTCTTAGTAATAATATATTCTCGAATGAGTTATTATTATTATTTTATTTTAATACTTTTCCATAAGCTGATCAATTCTGCAGCTGCCACCTCATATAAGAACTTCCTTGTTAAGCTTGAAAATATTAAATTAAATTGGTACGCGCGAGTAAAGGAATTGCTGCAATTAAATACTGACACCACAATATCATTGAGTAATATTCACATTTGGCATAAAGCGCGAAAAAAGAAAATGGCAAGGCAGTGAAAATATTAAAATCAACACAAGCACTCAGCTGCATTTGCAGTTGCAATTGCAATGGCCGTCTGGCTGCATATTTACTTATCGTGGCGAGATAACAATTGACTACCCGACTGGGCAAACAGTTGAGACGAGGACGAGGACGAGGACGACGATTGCGGGCAAGTGGAAAAAATCGCGGCGAACTTTATTAAAATTATACAGCAAGAACAGGAAGTGGCTGTAAGGGCAGCGAAGGTAAAAGAAAATCGTACGCCAAAAGCAAACGCAAATTAAATGGGATACAAAAAATTCATACAATTTGTGTGCAGTGGGCAAAAAACGGTGAAAGGATATGGAATGTTGTCGGGCTATCTCGTGCCAGCCATACTGCCTGGCGCAGTCAACAAAGGGCATACACAACTGCAAAGGACGAACAGGGTCCACGCATATGTTCAGAGTGCAGGGCGTGCCGTCAACAGGATGCAAAAGTGCAGTCGATTAACGGAAGCGTAGCCAACAACAAGCTGTCCTAGCAAGTGTGAGACGACGCAGAGCCCCGCATCTGTGACTGACTCTGCCTGCATTGGAATTGCGGTGGGCGTGGCTGCTGTGTGGCATGCATATCTGCATTTTATTAAATTTAATAAAGCTGCAATTAAACAATTTACCTTTTTGTTCAGTCCATATGTATTTCAGGCGGACCTGTGGTAAGCGCAGGCCGTCAAAAAAAAAAAAAAAACGATTTATGAGACTCTATGGACCGTGAACGCCAAATTTGGTGTGAGTCATGAAAATGAAAATTCAAGACCTGCGTTACGCAAAAAAACTTCTTTAACATTGATATTGCGATTTTCAAAAACCAAAATATTCAAAAAAATATTTTAAAAACAAATTCTTAAATTACAATAAATTTTGAGTCGAAGGTAAGGATTATTATGTTAGTTGGGTCATTTACTATAATTGTATGTGCTCGGCTCTTTTGTGGAAAAGATAAAATATAAAATGGCTCAGCACCTATACTACATACCTATACTACCTACATTTGCATTGACTAACCCTAAAATACATTTGCATATTTACATATGCCCCGAACTATTTATGAACTTTTTTAAGACAGTTTTTAATAGGCTATTCTTTCATTCCGGTGTAAAGAAATATTAACCCATTCTTAACCTTTATTTATAAAAATTGTATTAGTCATTTCATTAGCTTAAGGATCATTTGACAACAATTTAAGGACTACGTTCCATTCAATTCTGAACTCCTAACCCTGAACCTATCGCTGCTGCACAAAACTTCAACTTTATCTTCAACAACTTAACTAATTCCTACAATAAGAGCCAACTCTACATTTGTACTGTTTCATTAATTTGTCCATTTATATTTAGTAAGTAACTCAAAGTAAGTAACTTTTTCATAAACTGCGTCAAAAACTAAGAAGCTGTTGTAATCTATTCATGTTCGTGCCTCCATATGTCACTCAATTCAAAAAAATATAGTAGCTTGACTTCTCACAAGAGCGATTTAAATTTGATCAATAAAAGGGCCTACAGATATTGTTGCTATAACCGTAAACCGAAATGGATATGAGCATTTATGGCAGGAGACTAGCTTCCACAAAAATAATCGTTTCAAGAGTAGCTCCATATTTAATTTACAATATCTACTTAGAAAACGTAAAACAGATTACATTCTTTAATTTTAATTCAATCATCCAAATACATGATACTGACTAGTTCTTTTAAATGCGTAAAGTTCATAAATACTTTTATATTCACAAATTCCATTCCATTTAAGTATATTTCATAAAATTTGACTCTGTACATTAAAACACTAGCAGCGAAGCGTGAAATGTGAATGGGCGAAAGATTATCAACATTTTGCATGGCAATTAAACGGCCCATTGCGAAGTCAAGCATCAGAGCAGCTCAGTTAATGTTGAAAAATGAGCGCTGTAGGTAGAGAAAAATTCACACACTGTATCATCGTCTTTGCCCTTGTAATCAGCCAAACAGTCTTGGCTTGTTCGCCACGCCCACCCAATGTCGCGCCTATATTTCGCCGAAACAATAAGAATACTCAACCAAGTGTTGCACTGAACGAACGCCACAAATGGACGACGGTAAGTTGGGAAAATATTGTTCGAATTGAAACTGACTTCTGCCCAGTGCCTGCAAATAGAACGATTGGCTGGAGCACCACAATTACAGCTACGAACGCCACAATGTCACCACCAGCGACGGCTATCAGCTGCAGCTGCAACGTCTGCCCCGTCACGGGGCACAGCCGGTGCTGTTGTTGCATGGACTGCTCTCCTCCTCACTGGCCTGGGTGTGCCTGGGTCCGGACAAGAGTTTAGGTAAGCTGCGCTCATTAAAACGCCAAAGCCATTTAGTGCAATGTTGCTACACTTCCGTTGGTCAGCCTTCCAGCTGCACCAGCGACAATACGATGTGTGGTTGGCGAATCTGAGGGGCTCTACACCCTATGCCCGACGTCACGTGGAGTTCACCGATGTCATGTCTGAGTTTTGGCGTTACAGCTTTCACGAGCATGGTGCATACGATTTGGCAGCTATAATTGACCATATTGGAAAGGTAACAGCAGCCCCCAATCATGAAGTAGGGGAGAGACCTGAAAAAGCAGCCCAGCCTGGAACAGAGCGCGAGGAAATAGATGAAGATGCGGAATTGGGGCCGGATGAGATCGAACAAAATGAACCAGATGAGAAGGACAACAAAGAAATGGACCAAGAGGAAGCAGAAAATGAACTTGATGAACAGGAAGGGAAAGAGGAAGAAGGAAATACGGATGAAAATGACCAGAAAAAGCAAGAAGGATCAGAACAAGAGAAGGGTACCAAAAGCGAAGAGGAAGAAGAGAAAAATGAAGAAAAACCACAACAACCGGACTTAGGCAATAAAAGCGAGGAGGAACCAGAGATTCCTACCAACGAGGATGGAAAAGTCGGGGAAGAAGAACGAGAAGAAGTTGATGCAAATGACCAGGAAGAACAAGAAGAAACGGAACAAGGCAAGGACTCCAAAAGCGGAGAGGAAGCAGATCAAAACGATCAACACGATCAAAGAGAACAAGAACCAAAGCATCCAGACTCAGACAAAACAAGCAAGGAAGTGACAGAAAAACGTAACAAAGACGGTGAACAACGGGAAAAAACTGATGAAAAGGAAAATGCCCAGGAAGAACCAGATGAGCTCGAGCAGAACAAAAGCAATGAAGAAGATCTGCCAAAGGAAGAACCGGATTTAAGAGAATACGATGAGTTAAGGCAGAGGCAAGAGGAGCACTCTTTATTAGTCGCAAAGCAACATCAGCACCAACTACAGAAGCCGAATCAGAGGGCAAGGCAGCGATTGCAAAAGCAAAAGCGCAGACACCAACAGGGACATCATCATGGGCACCCACAGAAACAACAGCACCAACAGCTCCAACCGAAACGAGAGCCACCTCCAGTAGTGCTAATTGGACACTCACAAGTGAGCACTAACATCATTTGCTAACCTATGCAACAATCATTGCCTTCTTTCTGCCCACCACAGGCCTTCAATGCGTTTCTGGTGCTGTGTGCGTTGCAGCCCCGCTATAATCAACGCATATTGCTGATGCAGGCATTAGCCCCATTAGCACGTTTGCGTCACTACGCCCGCTTCGATAACAGCCAGGTGCTACGCGTGATGAAGTTCATTAAGGTAATTACCATTTCAAAGATGTTGTCTTACTGGGGATTGTAGTACTCACAATTTGTGAACATTCGAAAAGAGTCAAGATCGAAGTATCTCCCCAAATCTATCCCTTCTCATAGTTAGTGTAAGTCAGAAAGAAGGATGTTCCTTTGGCTAACAGATTTGAAACTCACATTTCACTTGAGTTCAGCTCTAAAAGCTTGTTCATCGATTCGATCGAAGCTTTTTATGACCCTTTTTAGCTTTTGCGATAGTTACTTTGCCTACTTTTAGAGGCTCCTTAGTATTTTGTAATAGAAATTAGTTATGAATTGAATTCATGTTTAAATTCTTCGTTTATTGCTTTGGCTTGTTATAGTAGTTGGCTTTTGTGAATGGCATTTTCGTCACTTCCGCTTCGTAGAATTTATCGCGTATTTTAAGTTCAACTCGTGTGCCGGGGGCTTTCCATGTCTCAGCTATGTAGCCCATGGCAATATTCCGTCCCGTGCTAGGACTGGGACACCCGCTGGTCACTTGACCCACCAGCTTGCCTTCCCGATAGATGTCAACACTAGCACGCGCTGGCGGGGACTTGGCGCCCTCCAATGTTTGCAGACCCACACGACGTCGCTGCACACCCACCTTCAATTGACGAACAATAGCTGCGGCTCCCGGAAAATCGAGGGCCGTACGTCTTCGCTTGGCCACAAGCCACGAAAGTGCTGCCTCCACAGGAGTTGTGTGCTCATCAATATCACTGCCATAGAGGCACAGGCCGGCCTCTAAACGCAGCGAGTCACGCGCTCCCAGTCCAGCCAATTTCAGTTTTCCGCTTTCCAGAAGTGCTTCCGTCAATTGTTCTACTCGATTCGAGGGCACAGATATTTCGACACCATCCTCACCTGTGTAGCCACAGCGAGTTATGCGTACATTGGGCAAATCGGCCAGAGGTGTGCTCAGAGTTTGCATAAAGTAAAGCTGCCGCAGCAGTTCAGGCTTAGGCAGCAATTGGGCCAGCTCAGTGGCAACTTGGGGACCTTGCACGGCTAAAAGTGATTGCTCGCTGGGCGCCAGAAACTCAATGGTCACATCTTTGCCTTGCGATTTAAAGTTGGACTGATCCCGAAAAAGGAATGAATCACCTTTAATCGAAATACACTCTTAACACACATTCAATTACTTACCACAGCGGACTCCATAATGCCCATATCCTGCTGCTTCATGGCCGCATTGGATACCACATAGAGCTCCTTTTCGCTCACCTTGTTGACAATAAGGTCATCCAGTATGCCACCGGCCTCATTTGTGAAAACGGTCAGTGTGCCACTGCCCGACAGCAGGCCAGAAATGTCCGCCGTGCATATGGATTCGAGGCATGCTGCCGCATCCTTGCCGTGCACATAAGTCTGCAGCATGTGTGACACATCGAAAATGGAGCCAATGCGACGGGTATACAAATGGGAGGCCGTGATGCTCTGATCTGTGTACTGTACGGGCAGAGCATAGCCACCGAAGTTGACAATTTTTCCACGGTTCTTCACATGAAAGTCGTAAAGGGCTGTACGTTCTCCCTCCGCTCTTCCCGTGGACGCTTCACGCCATATGCAGAAGCCTAGTCGAGTAGCACCGCTTCTGTGCAGTTTACAGCTTAAATTAAACATGATCGTGACGCTGGTCTCAACACAACTGAAAGACAATTCTGAAATTAAATCTAACACTGAGTCTGAGCTGTGTCTTTATCTCTTCCGCCTCTGCTGAGCATCGAGTGATAAGCATTTGACTTTTGCTGACATCCCCGCTCATAAACAAAGTGAAAGCAAACCGCAAGCAGACAACAAACATGCATTGCCTCGCTTGTTGCTAAATACCACATGCTGCACTAAATCGTATTATAAATAGACGAACTGCTGCTGATAACCCCCCACGATTATTCTCAGAGCCGGCAGCGAATTGATAAGCGACGCTCTTTCAAAAAACAGAACAGCTGATTTTTCAAATTAATAATAATAGACACTAATCCAGAAAGCTTTCAATTTTCATTTGGTAGTTCCAGCTAGTGGCTAGCTTGGAAGATTTTGAAAAGTAGTGGTGCTAAGCTTTTTCTCTTTTTCCGCCACCTCATAAACGCTCTTTTAAAAGCGATGTAGAATCCATGGACGGGTTCTTAAAGGCACTTTAAATAATATTATAAAACGTACCCAATGGGGACGAATATTAAACAAAACAATTTAAAGAGCGGAGAAAGCTCTTTTCGACACTTAGCTTTCCTATTCATGGGATTCTTCTCTTTGTAAGATAGATACAAAATGGATATCCACTGGCATTCGGGTGGAGGGCACCAAAGATAAATATATCACTAATATGGCACACCAAGGATATTCAAGCTTGGGCACAAGGTACATAATAAAGCAATTTTTAAAGCAGATCTGAGCAAAAATAACAAATACAGTTCTGAAAAGCTCTTGGACCTTAATAAATAGTAAATAGATATAGGTCCTAGCAGTCTGAGAAGTGAAGAAGAGAAACCGCTACAGTCGAGCAAGCCCGACAGTGAAATACCCTGTACCCAGACAAACTTCCGCCTTATATGTTATATGCGCCTATAGCAGAAGCAAAAAGAAGAGCGAACTTGATGCTGAAACTTGTGGGCAATAATAATAATAACTTTTACAACAAAAGTAGATAACAGTATATACTATAAACTACGTGTGCAAAGTTTGGTTTATGTCGCTTTTGAAATGTGAACAGTGTTGACAAACATAAAAATAAAATATAATCGTATAGCTTACGGACCAGGAGCTTGTATTTACCAAGTTTGCTTGTGCGATCAACCTTTTCCAAAATCCTGGCGTTCATTTGGACAGACGGACAGGCGGACGGACATGTCTAGATCGATTTCTCTCGTCATGCTGATCAAGAATATATATACTTAATCGGGTCGGAGATGATTTCTGTTTCCTGTTACATTCTTTGCACAAACCTCTTACCCTCTTTACCCTACGTGTAGAGGGTATGAAAATAACATAAACATTTTAGACGGGGATAGTCTCTCCACAATAAAGTCTTAGCAATGATATCAATTAATATCTCATACAAGTTAATAGTTATTATAGAGCTTTTAGACTTATAATGACATTCAACATTATTTTTGTTTATCTTCCAGCAACGTCAAAAAGCTAACAAATACGAACTCTTTCCAGTCGGTGAGCTGCGCAAATATTGTTTCCAGAGTGGCGCTAAGAAACAAGATCTTTGCGAGCACTACGCAAAACATTTGATAGGCAGCGCGCTTAACAACAACAAGGTGAGTAGCTCGATGAATCCAAAACCGTCTCTAACACGATCTTTTCACAAACCATAGCTACTAGAACCTTTTAAATTCGAGTACTTGCTACAAGGCGGATCGGCACGTGAACTACAACATTTGCAGCAAATCTGGAAGTCGGGGGACTTTATCGCCTACGATTATGGACACATAGACAATCTGCAGATCTATCATAGTGTGGAGGCGCCGGGCTATAATCTTAGCAAGGTCACGGTGCCGCTGATCTTGTACTTTGGGGAGACCGATGCTATTGCCACGCCCGAGGGCGTACACAGCATATATGCCAAGATGGTACAATCTGTGCGCAGTGTGCGACGCATTGCAGCCAACAAGTTCAATCATTTGGATTTTGTGCTGGCCAACGATGTTAAAAACTTGGTTAACGATAAGTTAATTGAGTTAATGGAAAAATTTCTCGAGGGCAAGCTGCCATACATAATAGAGTGAGGAGGTGCCGGAGGAGAGGGAGGAGGTGTCAAGTGCGACTTCAAAGGCGTTCATTGAATCATTAAAGCAGCGGAATTGTCTTGAATTGTCTTGGCAACCAACAAAGAGCGGACAATTATGTAATCGGCGGCCACTGCGTCTCAACCACAAAAATAAACAAAACAAAACCGAAAATACAAAAAGCGAAGAGCGTAAAAAACAGACACTCAACTACCACTTTTACTTTCTTTTGATTGCCTTTCCAAAGCATACAAAAAATTATTTGTGTATTGCTTTTGTGCCACTGCTTCGACTGTACTGTAGACATATGTTTATATATACAAATATATATATACCTACCACTCAACAAAAGGCTTAAAGAAAAGAGGTTACTAAGCCGTTTTTGCAAATGCTTGCCAACATGCTAATGTCCAATAATGACCAATAATCAGAGCTACATTTTGAATTTTGGGTGTAATTTCCGTAAAAATATTTCCTACAAGCAGATGGCTTTGCTCGATCATAAATTTTCTGTACACTACAGTTGTGAGGAGGCATATTGACTTTGTGAAAATGTTTTGTATTTTTTGTTTTTTATTAAACGAATTTGAATCGTTTTTGTGCATAAACAATTAACTGAAGTCTACACTTTAACAAAAATTACCAAAAACTGCCTGAATTTTGATAAATCGGCAGTAAAATACATGGCTTTTAAATATATAATTAAACTTGGGGAGAGAATAACATTTCTTATTCTAAACAAGTAAAAAAGCTAAAGTCGGGTGTCCCGACTTTGAAATACTCTGTACATATGTTTACAATAATTATAGAAAATAAAAAAATTAAGAAAATAAAAAAAAAAATTTGATCGATTTTACCTCTCTCGGTATTCGAACTCACGTAAAGGGTGTATAGTTGCACATTTACATAGCAATTGCGTCTGTGTGAGTGTATGTATGCCTATGCGCATCTATTCGTGTCTGTGTAAGCATTTTCGCAGTCAACACAACAGCAACATCAACAACAGCCGCGGGCAGCGCTTGAGCAGCGCTGCAGCAGCGCTGCATCAGCAAATATATTTATGGCTATAACTTCTTGTTAAATCGGTCTATCATAATGAAATTTGACATACGGACACATAATAACCAACTGGGGGTATTTCCAAAATTTTAGTTCGAAATTCCAAGAATTACGGGAGTTACGATTTGCGGGGTAGAGGGGGGAGGGAGGGAAATTCCAAAATATACATTTTCTGCGTATTCACATAAGGCATCTGGGACTAAAATTTGGTGTTCCTAGGTCTTATAGTCTCCGAGATATAGGCGATTATACGAATGGAAAATCGGGAAAACCCCCATAGGGGGGAAGTGGGGGGGAAAATCAAAAAAATAAAACAAACTCGTATAGAATACACACATAACGCATCTTTGTGCAAAATTTGGTGTCTCTATCTCTTATAGTCTCTGAGATCCAGGTGTTCATACGGACGGACAGACGGACAGACGGACAGACGGACAGACAGACAGACAGGGCTAGATCGACTCGTCTCGTCATGCTGATCAAGAATATATATACTTTGTGGGGTCTGCCACGCCTCCTTCTGCCTGTTACATTTTTCAGCTCCCGCAAACCTAATATACTCTTGTACATTTCATGTACAGAGTATAATAAGAAAAACAACCAGGCTAATTATTATTGATTATTCCGCTTTATAAATATATAATAAATTTATTGAAATATATTCCGAAACAAACAAGTCCATTAAAAAGCAAGATAGAACGCTACAGTCGAGTAAGCCCGACAGTAAAAAACCCTGTACTCTCCACAAAAAAGGAAAATTAAAAAAAATTATTAAAATTTTTTTTAATAATTTAATTAATTAATTAAATTAAATGTAAAATATTCAACACATGCATACATACATAAGTGTTTATGTACAATTTCAATAGAATATATTTACATCAGAATCGTCTCTCTGCGTGTTTGTATGCAGCACAAAGTTGGACAAAGGCAGCAACAAGAACAATAACAGCTGCGGACAGAGTTGCAGGCAGCGATTTTATTTATGGCTATAACTTTCCTTAGAATTCACCTATCATGATGGCATACGGACTCATATTCACTAACTGGAGGTATTTACCAAATTTGAGCACAAAATTCCAAAAATTACGGAAAAAAAAAACGAATTGCGGGAAAAAAAACTTAAACTCATACTTTCTCGGTCTTAGGAGAATCTGAATACCAAGTTTGGTTGTTATAGCTCGTATACTTTCTGAGATCCTTGCGTTCAGACGGACGGTCAGACGGACGTGGCTATATCGACTCGCCTTGTCATCCTGATCAAGAATATATATACTTTGTGGGGTCTGCCACGCCTCCTTCTGCATGTTACATACATTCTCACAAAACCAATATACCCTTTCATCCTTTGGGTACAGGGTATAAAAATACAAATATCAAAAATATATAAAGTCTAAAAAAATATATAACAACATTTAAATTATTTGTTTTTATGTACTTTACAAATCCGTATAGCCACAATTTTCTTCCACTGTGTATTTAAACTATTTAAACTAAATGAAATTAATTTTCTTATTCTAAACTGAAACTCAAACGGCCCCAACATATCATTTCTCCTTTTTTTTGTAAACTCCACTTTTAAAATCTGCAAGTCATTTTGAGTAGTTTTGCATTCACTTCGCTTTTATGAACGCACCTCAAATTAATTTGAATATCTAAAAGCATTTGGAAACTCGAAAATTTCATTCATTTTTTTTTATCGTTTTATCAAACCATTTCTCTCTTTCGTTCGCATCAACAAGCAATATATAGATATATGGATATATAATGGGAGCAAGGCCAATAAGTGTCTCAATCAGCACTGTTGGTAATCAGTTTTCAGTCAACACGGTTTTCAGTCAGTTGGGGGTCCCTTTTGGTTGCAATGTTTCTCTTTAAGATGCCGCAGCAGTATCTCCCCCATGTAGTTGCCCCAAAATAAAAGCAAAAATACGAAAAATCATAATCAAAAGGTAAACAATACAACATACAAGAAACGTCACAATTGTTGCTGTTGTTGTTGTGATCGAAAGTTTTCGGCATTCTTCACACAATTCGAACATCGGTGCCGCCGCCAATGCCATCGCATGCGACGGAAACTGACAATTTCAGTTGAGCCCGCAACTCGCAGCGGTTAGGTTGACAATATTAACGATAAAGAAAGAAGCACCGACCGACGCGACGGACAGACAATTCAGTTTACAATTTCACTTTCAGTAGTAAATTTTATTCGATATACGTGCCCTCGAAAATGTTGCCGCAACGCCGCCGCTTAAAGCTTTACTTACTGCTCGGGTTATGTTTGCTCATCAGTCGGACGCAGGCACAGCTCATTGGAGCTGACGAGGCCGAGGCCGAGCCCGAAGAAGAGGAGGACGAGGAGGAAGAGGAAGAGAGTGTGGAAGACGAGACGTTGGAGGAGAAGCTGCAGCGCAAAAACATCAAACAGGACTCGAACCTAACTGTGGTGCGTACTTGCTGCTGTCTTGGCCAAGATTAATGGCCTGGCATAAATTGCATGTTGTCGTGGTCTCGTCGTCATGGCCGTCTTGTTCGTCATGGTCGCCGCTCATCAACTATTTACACTTTTCATCAACACAGGATAAATTAATTGCTAAATATGGCTACCAGGCGGAAGTGCATCGTGTGACCACAGAGGATGGTTACATACTGACAATGCACCGCATACGGAAAGATGGCGCCCAACCCTTTCTTCTCCAGCACGGTCTGGTCGATAGCTCAGCGGGCTTTGTCATTATGGGACCGAACGTTAGTCTGGGTAAGTGGATGAGTAGATGAGTAGATGAGTGAGCGTCTAGAGCGATTGTCGTCGGCCAACGCCTTTGTGTCTGCGACTCTGTGTGATTAATTACAAATGCAAGTGATTAACGTGGACGTGGCTTTGATTTCTCTTGGCAGCCTATATGCTGGCCGACCACAACTATGACGTCTGGCTGGGCAATGCCAGAGGGAATCGTTATTCCCGCAATCACACCACCCTCGATCCGGACGAGTCCAAGTTTTGGGATTTCAGTTGGCATGAAATCGGCATGTACGATCTGCCCGCCATGATCGATCATATTCTGAAGACGACCGGCTATAAGAAGCTGCACTATGCGGGTCATTCGCAGGGCTGTACCGCCTTTTTTGTTATGTGCTCCATGCGGCCGACCTACAATGAAAAGGTCATCATGATGCAGGCCATGGCACCGGCTGTCTACGCCAAAGAGACCGAAGATCATCCGTATATACGGGCAATCAGCTTGTATTTTAATGTAAGTCAAATATTATTGCCATCGGGTAACGCATTCACAGCCTACATTACCCCTAGACTGAGGGCTATAGAAACTGCGATGATTTGTAGATGCTTTACGTTACTTGATTTATTTCCTCCAGACTCTGGTTGGCAGCTCAATAAGCGAAATGTTCAATGGAGAGTTTCGTTTTCTGTGCCGCATGACTGAGGAAACGGAACGTCTTTGCATTGAGGCCGTCTTTGGCATTGTGGGACGAAACTGGAACGAATTTAACAGGGTAAGTGGGCGGAGTTTCAAATAAAATCTCACTAAACTGTTGTTGTGCAAACCTTCAAACAGAAAATGTTTCCCGTCATCTTGGGTCATTATCCTGCAGGCGTTGCTGCCAAGCAAGTCAAGCATTTTATTCAGATCATCAAGAATGGACGCTTCGCTCCCTATAGCTACAGTGCCAGCAAGAATATGCTGCTCTACCGAGAGCATGTTCCTCCCCGCTACAATCTCAGTCTAGTCACCGTTCCCACCTTTGTCTATTACTCCTCAAATGACTTACTCTGCCATCCCCATGATGTGGAATCCATGTGCGAGGATTTGGGAAATCCCGCAGGCAAATATTTGGTGCCCATGAAAGATTTCAATCATATGGACTTTCTTTGGGCCATCGATGTACGTCGTTTGCTTTATGCGCGCATGCTGCAGGTGCTGGAGAAGGACAAAAAACGAACTTTGGAGGCAGACCAAGAAGGGAATAAGTTAAAAGCGCGAGTGATTCGTGGCCTTAACGCGGCATAGTACAAAATTTACATTTATTTACCATTTATTACTAGCTTTACTTATTTATTTATGTATGTGAATAAATTATTAATCAATGATTTTTGCTTTTATTTTACCAACAAATATCAATATTAATTTGTTCCCTAGTAACCAAGAGAAAGCAATCAAAGCAATTATTATTATATTCCAGCATATGAATTGATCCTTTTGGAAGGTGTTACAAGGAATAAAGATGACTTTTGTTGCTTAGCATGTAAGGAAGGAGTAAGCACTGAAATAGTCAACCAATTAGTTTGTGGAAGTGGCTCAATTCTATGCTCTGCAGAAGCAAATGGAAGAAGCTGCGAAGATGGCTACAAAGCATGTGGTGGTGGCAATGCGAGATTTTTTTAATTACAGGGTGTTAAAAACTTAACATTAAATTCATGTTGTTTACCTATACATTATTTATATAAAATATACTTCTATTCAGAGCAAGGAGTTATTACAAAAATGCTATTTTATCATTTTTGCCATAAAATTTAAGCCATTTGTGTTTACACATAATTCAAAATTTGAATGTTACAAGTATTTGTCTTACAACTTAAGGTTTGAATAATCCTAAAAATATAGCAGTTTTGCAGTTTCACCATAAAACAAACAGTAAAAGCGGTATGAAGTCTTTTGGGCAAAGTATCAAATTTTATATTTATTTGTTTATTTATTTACTTTGTTTTCTAGCTTTAAATATTTCAATGTATTTTGCGATATTAAATATGCAAGTGTCAGTGAAGACCGGAAGCGGAAGTCAAATGTTTTTTGCAGACAATGACCTTGCCCAGAAACTGTAACATATACATAAGTAGAAGCTGCCTCTGACAGAGACAAGCATGCAGGCAAAGCGTACACAGCCACATGCATTGGTAAGCAGATTTCCTTAAGGGAAATTTCTATTTTCTTATGCACATGCCATTTTCACAACAGCTGCTGCTTCTTTCTCTGCCGAAATACAAGCACAACAGTGCTAGTGTTGTTTGTGTTTTTTGTTTCTTAAATTTTATACTGTCTAAGAAACAAGAGCTGCTTATGCTTTCAGGCCACACTGCTTGATATTTGCATTTCAGTTGCTTCTGTTGTTTCGACACCATGCCAGCTATATATTTATCTGTCTGTTTATATTTTTAAGGAAATGTAGAGAAGGCGAACACTGGAAAACTTCCACAACTTTAACTTTAAGTTGTTAAGCAATTTTTATTCGTGTATGTCTCGTGTGCCTGTGCAATTCCAAAAAACAGATTTTGTGCGTATTCACATAAGGCATCTTGGACTTCAAATTTTATATCCCTAGGCGATTATACGAACGGCGTTACAGAAAAACCCCCATAGGGGGGGAAGTGAGGGAAAAAATAAAAAAATAAAACAAACTCGTATAGTGTACACACATAATGCATCTTTGTGCACAATTTGATATCTCTATCTCTTATAGTCTCTGAGATCCAGGACGGACGGACGGACAGACAGACAGATAGACAGGGCTAGATCGACTCGTCTTATCATGCTGATCAAGAATATATATACTTTGTAGGGTCTGCCACGCCAGGCAGAACCTGTTACATTTTTCAGCTCGCGCAAACCTAATATACTCTTGTATAGTTCATGTACAGAGTATAAAAAGCTGTCAGAACAGTTACAGAATTGCAGTTAAATTATTAACCGTTTTCTTTTGTTTGTTGTCCCTTTTATTTGTAATAAGCTTGACCAGAATTTTTGTTAAAAGTATTTCACCTTCACATTGAAATGTCATCTAACACCTGGTGACTGACTTTCTTTCGCACATTTCATTTATTAAAACGCTCAATGTCATTTGCATATCTTTATTGCCATTTTTACTTAAGCATGTTGAACATTACGCCGGCAACACACTCTCATGGTTTATGTCTTTCATTATTGATGGCTTAATTCCGGTTGATTTATTGAGGCCACAAACAACCGACCAGCAAGTCACCCACCCATCCATCCAGTCAGTCATTCAGTCAGCCAGCCATTGAGCCGAGCATTTTGCTGTCCAGTCCAGAGGGCCATTTTGTATGCACACGTACAGCTCTTATGTGGCATGTACGTACACGTATGTACGAGTATTACATAGTTCTATCCACACATGTGTCAGTGTGTTTATTGGAAAGCAAAAGCGCACGTGTTTAATAAATAAACCAAGTTAATATTGTGTAAAACAGCAGCCACAGAAGCCCTCAGAAGCTATAATCGGAAAGCTATTTGAAGCAACTGATCTAACACTAAGTGAAGGCTTTTAATACATTGCGGCAGACGAGACCTACGACACTGTATAGCACTTAAAATATATAATTTAGGCATAAGTATTAAATAAACCCTTCAACACTTTCTCTTAAACGCAAAAGTAATTTAGTTTTACTTTCCATCTTCTTATTTCTCAAGCAGTTACAACATATTTCTATTGCTAAAGGTTCTTATCATTGCGAAAAACTTATTTTTATTTAGTTATTTATTTTAGTCAGCAAATCACACTGATATGCGGAAGTTTTGTTTGAAACTCAAAAAACCTATGAAGTGAAAATAACTTAAAATATACTATCAACAATAGATTCTTACAATGACACAAATTATAAAGGATTAGGTAGATAGAATTCTGGATAACAGTTGATTGTGATTCAATACTGTTGATTTTAGAAAAGAGGTAATTAATAACATTGTACATTGAACTCATGAACTTAAGCCCAAACCACCAAGAAGCCAATAAAAGTTTAGAAAATGAAGCTTTTTTGAAATCAACATTTTAATATTCACATTGTTTTGCATTAAAATAGTTGATTAAATACTAACAAGCTAAGGTAAGCGTAATATCTATTTGAGCTCGAGCATACAAAATTGTGAGTATACACACGTTACCTTTTCACTAAATCTCAATGTAAGTTAGCAACTATAAGCATTTTGAACTTTATTCCTTTTCAACCCTTCAGTGAAAAGTGAAAGGCTCTATTTATATTTGTTGCGTAAAGAAGAACAATGTTAAACAAACTGAGAAAGCAGCTTTATGTCATAAAAAAGGGGAAGACAGTGCGGTAAAAGTTAGTTTTAAAGCAACATGTTGTTCAAAATACACCTAAGGCAAATTTTAAAATGGTTTGTACTGAACATTTAATTTATATAGTTTTAAAAAATATAAGAAATGTATGTACTCGTATCTGGTTTTATGCAAAATGAAAGTGCGTCAATCATTTTCAACAAGCGCAGCATTAATTGAATTCCATATATTTTCAAGAAATATTGAAACATTGCTTAAATATTGTTATTTTTCATTCCAAAAGGAGGGTGCGAGCAAAACCAAAGCAAACCAAAATGCCCGTTTAAATACCTTGGAAACAACGAAATGCAAAACAAAACAAAAAAGAGACTCCAAACATGCATGCCCTCTGAGCCTCATCAGAGCATACATATACATATCGTCTATACACACACATGACCGGTTGAGGGTAAAAACAGATTTGTAACGTTGCGCCTGAAAGTATGCAACCAACAACATGCCATTGACTGCAAACGAGCAGACTCTGCATACACGTATGCGTTCATTTACTTGGTTACTAAACCTGCCCAACCAGCTATCCTGCGCATTCATTTGCTCAGACAAAACGACAGCCACAGAAAAAAGAACAGCTAAGCTCAAACCAAGACCCAGTCCCAGCCCCAGAACTAAGCCCAAGTTGTTAACGGCAACACGAGCTCATCACTCATCAGGCAGAACATTTTAGTTCACTGTATAGGTGTATAAGTGTATCAGTGTGTGTGGCGAATGGGTGTGAGCACTAATGTCCAATGATTAAATTTTAATTACCGTGCACAAATCGAGTTCGAGAGATGGCTATCCTGGAGCGTCATTTGCATTGCTTGCAACATTTCCAAGTTTGTGCTACTTTCATCCAAATACATTCATTGAGCTCGTTTTTCATCGCCGCTCGTTGATCATTCTGCGCTGTCCGCTGCGGTTGCCATGTCATTAGCATTGCTGGACCTCGGCTAACTTCATTAACAGTTTCAATATTACTTGCCTGCAATAGCATTCCCATTCATTGTGAGTGCCTAAAGTGCGGCACTGCTGTGTAAAGGCATAGAACATTATCTAAACGTGATATGTACTATTTATAGTATATAGGGTGATAAAATCTACTTGTAGTCCCTAGTTTTGTATGCAGAGTTTTTGAACTCTTTTGAGTTATGCATTATTTTACTAAGCGTTCTTCTCTTGTCACCCAAATATACGTAATACTATACATTTACAGTGCGTATACTCCTTAAAATATCACATGCATTTTAAGGCTCCTTTTTTATATTTTGACAATTTTATTATAAATAGTTTTCGTTTTCTCGGAAAACTATTGAGCTATTCGTCCTTGAAGCTAGTGGGATCATTCACGAATTCAGACCATTTCGATTCAACATGGATATTCAAACTAATTCAGGGATTAACTCCTCCTTCCGTTATAAGGGGTTAGCTCTCATGGCTCAATTTTTTCAGATATGGCCAATTCTATAACTTAAAGAAATTCCCTCAAATATTTGTAATATACTTTACCTTCGACTACTCCGCCTATAATCTTATTTGATAATCTGATATGCTCATTCTTGTCACCCTGTATGTGTTAAACGCATTGGTGTCCGTCTCTATAAAAATACCGGACCCTTTAACAGAAATGTTTATCCACTCAATGCAGCCCGTTGCTCATACAATTTCAACTTTGCATTCAGCGCTGCCACATACGCACACACCCGCAAGCTATTGAAGCCTTTATTGATGCACATCATGGGGCAGCCCACCCTCAGTTCTCGTTGCCTGTCATTGACAGTAAAATGGCCACGATGTTTTGTTGGCAATTAACTTTATAACATTTGCAAGGCCCAGGCTCGTGTGCCGCTCAAACTCTGTCCTGCCTGCCTGCCTGCTGCCCATTCTTATCGATGTTGTTGGCGCATAATGCGCGCAGCTGCGCAGCGGCCAGTTGATTAAT